CTGTATTTTTAGAATTGGAAGTAGCTATCAGTTACACTAAAGTTGGGGGGTTTTTTGTTTGTTTGGGGTTTTTTTAGTGAGTTCCCACCCACCTTTTTTCTTTTTTAAAGAAAATAAGCTGGGGCCAGGGAGATGGCTCAGTGGAATAAGCACCTCCCTGGCAAGCGCAAGGGCCTGAGTTCAGTCCCTGGTTCTGCAAAAAAAAAAAAAAAGAAGAAGAAGGAAAATAAGGGATTGGGGATTTATACCTAGCAGGGAGGAAGGACAAGCCTCCTTCCTTTTTTGGGGGGGAGGGGGGCATCTTATGGAGATAGGCTTTCTCTCTCCAGTTCAGGCTGACCTTGAACTCACAACAGTCTTCCTGTCTGTCTCCCAAGTGCTGTGATTACAGGCCTGTACCATTATTGGGGCCAGGGATTTAGCTTAGTGGCACATGGCCTGCCTGGCAAGCCTGAGGTCCTGAGTTCAATTCCTGGTAACTCCTCCACCCCTCCCCCCCAAAAAAAAGGAAGAAGTAAACTGATGAGGAAAGTATATGTATGAAACTATATTCAGTAAAGACCCTATATGTAGTACTAGAAGTTAATTCTGTTAACAGGAAAAATGTATAGTACACAGTAAGTCAAAAGTAATTTTCCATGATTCCTTTCATTTAATAGTTCTTTCATGAGGGCCAGCCAAATAGTCCAGTGAATTAAAGTGCCTGTAAGCAGGTGCAGGGCCAGGGGTTTGATCCCCCAGCCTGCCTTTATAGCATGCGCCTGAAATCCCAGATCTTGGGAGGCTGCAAATAGGTGGATCACTACAAGTCTGATCTAGTTGTGAGATCCTGAACACCCTGTAGACCTTCCCTAAAATACAAAAAATAATAATAATTCTTTCATGAAGTCTAAAAATCACACACCTAACCCAGTTTCTTTTCCTGGAAAAGCTGTTTCTTTAAAATTTATCTTTGGGGCCAGGGAGATGGCTCAGTGGATTAAGTGCTTCCCTGACAAGTGCAAGGGCCTGAGTTCAATCCCTGGTTCTTTTTTTTTTTTTTTTTACATTTATTTATGTGTGTGTGTGTGTGTGTGTGTGTGTGGCCAGCTCAGCCCACCAGGGGCAGGGCTGGCTGGCATGTGGCGCTGGGGGATCGAACCGCGGTCCCTGTGCTCTGCCAAGCTTGTTCCAAGTAGGTGCCCTAGACCACTGAGCCATCCCACCAGCCCCCAATCCCTGGTTCTGGAAAAAAAAAAAAAAAAAAAAAATTATCTTTCAGCTGGGATGTAGCTTTCCAGTAGAGTACTTTTATGTTGAAACAGGGTCTTACCAGGTTGCCTAGATAGGGCTTGAATTAGGCTTGAGTTCTTTCTATCTCAGGTGTGCACCACGACCCTTAGATAAATTTATGCTTTAAATTTTATAGGTTTGTTTTTTTTTTGAGACAAGGTCTCACTATTGTGGCTGATCTCAAACTTGAAACAAGTCTCCTGCCTTTGCCTCCTGAGTGTTAGGATTGTAGGCCTGTGTGTGTGTGCCACCACTCACTGAAGTTTCTTTATTGTAAAAGTAAAGGGAATTTGTAAGATACAAAATTTTGGCAGTATTTATAACTTTAGATGACTTGTATTCTTGTCGATTTGATAGGCTAGGGTGTTCCTGTAATCTGTATTTTCATGGACATTCAAATTTCTGTTACTCCATGTTCTCATTTCCAGGAAATATATCAAATCTTTCCTTACTGCTGTTAGAATTTTCTTCTAACGGGGCTGGGGAGATGGCTCAGTGGAATAAGCGCTTCCCTGGCAAGAGCAAGGGCCTGAGTTCAATCCCCGGTTCTGCAAAAAAAAAAAACAAAAAAACAACGAATTTTCTTCTAACATTGAAGAGGGCATCAGGTGATGACATCCTATAATAGGAACAAAAGATATTAGGTATGAGGTTTTTTGTTTTGTTTAGTTTTTTGGCTGAAGCAGGAATTGAACTCAGGCCCTTGTGCTTGCCAGGCAAGCACTTATTCTACTGAGCTATCTCCCTGGCCCCAAGAAAAAATATTAGGGAATGCCATATGCCAGAACTGTGGGCAACAGGAATGAAGAGTCAGAAAACACCTTTGTTGGTGCCTGTCTTACATACTTAGAAGGCAAGAAAATAGCTTTTTTGTTGCCAAACTGAATGATAATAGAATGTGTCAGCTTTTTATTCAACTCTTAGAAGTCCTTGGTCTTTCTAGAATAAATTTGATAGGAAAATGAGTATACCTTTTCTTCTTGAATTTGAGCTTTTGTAGAATAGAGAGCTTCTCTAGTCTTTACCTGTTGGTGTAGAACATAAGTGAGTTAAGTTCTGTTACCATTACAATAGAAGATTTTCAGTTCAATTACAATAGATTTTCAGTTCATTTCAGTACATCAGTCTTAAATTTAAAGTAACGACCTTAATTGTTGCCTTTTAATTCAGTAAAGATTATGTAAGTTAGTGTACAGATTTGAACAGAAAAAAAGTTATACTATTGAAATTTCTCTGGTACATAGCAGGTTATCACTGAGGAAATGAGATCTAAATTATCACTGAGGGGGCCTGCCCCTTAGCTCAGTTCTTTAAGTGGCTGCTTCAACAAAGCAGTCAGGCTCAGGTTGCTGTGGTTCGATCCCCTCAACTCAAGCCAGCCAAACCTGCCCTGAAGGCATTCAAAGCAAAAAAAACAAAAACAAAACCCTTCTGCTTTTTAAAAGAAACAAAATATACCATGCATGTTTGAAAAAAAAAAATTATCACTGAAAAGATTTTGAGAACTTTATAGAGTAGTTCTTCCATCCTGTTACTGTCTGCCATCCCCATATAGAGGCAAGCATTGGCCTTTATTTTTTTGACTCAGACTAAATTCTTTTCGACTAAAAGTGAAACAAATCCATGGTATCTTGAAACAACAGTACCTGTCACTGAGAAAAGTGTTTGCTGGATCTCAATATTGTCATTTTTGCCTAAGGTAAGTATTTAGTAGTGGTGATTCTCTTTGAAATTTGAAAGCCATTTTCCTCTGAACTTAGACTTTTTTTTTTTTTTTTTTTTTAGGAACCGGGGATTGAACTCAGACCCTTGTGTTTGCCAAGCAAGCGCTTATTCTACCGAGCTATCTCCCCGGCCCCCTAAACTTAGACTTTTGAAAATTGAGTTTTACATACTCTGATAAGTGTTCTTGGTCTTAAGATTTGGAAGACATGGGGCCGGGGAGATGGCTCAGTGGAATAAGTGCTTCCCTGGCAAGCGCAAGGGCCTTAGTTCAATCCCCTGTTCTACCCAAAGGAAAAAAAAAAGATTTGGGAGACTTGCTTTGCTTCTTTTTTTGTATAGTATGGGGATTGAACCTAGGGCTTCACATGTTCTAGGCAAGCACTCAACCACTGAGCTTATACCACCAGTAGAAGATAAGGGTTGTAATTCCATTCTGCTTTCTAATTCCTGTTCCAAGGCCAGTGAACAAGTCACTTAATGTGTCTGGGCTAGGTTCTGTAGGAGTTCAGGCATAGAGATTCAGAGAGCCATTCTCTTCCTCCCCCCCCCCTTCCTTCTTCCTCCTCCTTCGCCTCCCCCCTTTTCCTGTTCTTCTTTCCCCTCCTTCTCTTCTTCCTCCCTCCTCTTCCTCTTCTTTCTCCCCCTCCCCCTCCTCTTCCCCCACCTCCTCCTCCTCCTCCTCCTCCTCCTTCCTGGGAAAAAAGGTATGTATTTAGAATTAGCCAGCTGGACTCAGTTTAGATGATCCCAATTTTGTTGGCCATATCCAGTGTATCATAATTGGGAGCCAGTTGAACATATGCCTTTTCTCCATCAGGCCTGATTAGGGTTGTTGTTTTTTTTAATTTTAGGGAAGGTTCTACAGGGTGTTCAGGGTCTCACTACTGGATCGGGCTTGTAGTGATCTGCCTGTTCATAGCCTCCCAAGAGCTGGGATTACAGGCGGGCACACCACCATGCCCAGTCTCAATTGCTGGCTCATCGTGATCCAGGAACAGGGCGGGCATGGCGCTGGGGATTGAACCCCCAGCCCCTTCATGTGCTTGCAGGTGCTTTAATCTGCTGAGCTATTTGGCTGGCCCTTGATTAGGATTATTGACATTGGCAACATTGATGTCATAGACCTTTTTTATAGCTTGTTTGACTTGGTGCTTACTGGCTTTGACATCGACAGTGAACACAAGTGTGTTGTCCTCAATCTTTTTGTTGGCAAACTGTGGTCAGGGGGAATTTGATGGCATAGTAGTCAATAGTAGTCATAGTAGTTTCTCCTGGGGTGCTCTTCCGAGGGTAATTTGGGCTGCCTTTGGAGCCACAGTGTCTTGGAATGGCAGAAGGTGGGTGACATTTATATTGAGCGTGCGTGTGTGCGTGTGTGGCTGTGGATATCTTTGAGCACTGCCTTCTTGGCCTTCAAAGTTTTTGCTTTGGCTTTAGCTTTGGAAGGGGCAGCGGCATTCTTTCCCTTTGGCACCATCTTGGTAAAAAAGCATACTCTTCTTATATAGAGTATAATTATAAAACTTTGAGGAAAGAGGTTGATTCTTTGAGACAAAGATGATATTCAGCATCAACTTTCTGCTGTTGCTTTTCATTTTAGTTTTTTATTGGCTAAACCTGAAATCTGTTTTTGATTTTTGGGGTTTGGTTTTATATTTTGTAACAGGGTCTTCCTGTATCATCCAGGCTGGCCTTGAATTCAACAGCAATCGTCCTGTCTCAACCTTCCTAGTCTTGGGATTATAGGTGTGCACCTTCTTGTCCACCTTGTTTCATCTTCTCAGAATCTCTGATGATTACTGTTATCAGGAATGATAGTATAAATAAATCCCTAACCCCTGACCCCAGTAGAGGTTGAATCCAAGTTAATCATACTAGCTAGGCAAGTGTTGTTCCACAGAGCCATATCCCCAGCTCTAAATAGGTTCATGTGTTACCATGTCATGTTTCTGTCAACTTTTGTTTGTATCCTTTACTAACTTATACATTCTTTTTCATCGTAGTACTCTTGTCCATCTGTTCTCTGTTGTGTGATCCCAATCCAGATGATCCTTTAGTGCCTGAGATTGCTCGGATCTACAAAACAGATAGAGAAAAGTAAGTATGGCCTCTGGGTGATAAAGTATCTGTGGTGGGATAGAGATATTTGTCTTAAATCTTAAGAGCTGACTATGAGCCAGATAATGAGGACAGGAAATGGGGTATGACTCCTCCTATCGAGAATTTTTTTTTTCCTCCTTTTTCTTTTTGTAGTTAGGGTTTTACTTGCTCCAGGCTGGCCTCAAATTCACTGAGATCCTCCTGACTCAGTCTCCGGCATGCTGGGATTACAGGCATGTTCTACTGTGCCTGGCACTGCCAAACCTTTCTGCATTCCTAAAGCATTCTGCATTCTTTTCTGAATTTTTTTAAAATTTTCTTTTGGTATTTATATTTATTTATGGCAGAACTGGGGGTTGAATTCAGGCCCTTGCGCTTGTCAGGCAAGCACTTATTCTACTGAGTCACCTCACTAGCCCCCTTGGTTTTTATTTTTT